GGGCGGCCACACGCCATGGGAGGGGGGGTCCTCAGGGAGAAATCCCATTGCACGAGGACCCGATTGCTAGGGTGCCGGCCAGGCCGGTCAAGGCCATTGCACGGCGCGGTGTCCCTAGCGGGGGTGTGGGTCTGCCCACTCGGGGCAGGTCCGTAGGGAAGAGGACGAGGCAACTCGTCTCTCTTCTGGAGGAGGGGCCGCACGACCGCTCGGACATACTCCGAGGCAGGGCGTGCGGTCTCGGCCCCCCCGCGGCCGCTCGGACGTATTCCGAGGCAGGGCGTGGGGGGGCGGAGATAGGGAAGGAAAACCCTTAAAACCCGGAAGGAAAATCGTACACCCGGCGTGTGGGCCGCTTGTTAAATAGCTCACAAACTATGACGACTCAATTTATGGATAGGAAAAGAAACAAGGTTACGTTAGCAGTTGGACTCGGAACCGACAGCTACCGGCGCGGGGGTGGTGGCAACCTAGCTACCCCCGTGTCGGACCTCGTCGTGGGAAACTGCGGCGTGGTATCGCGCGATAGGCGCTCCACGGTGTGCCCCGCAGGCACTGTGGAGATCAAGAATGTACCTGCGAAGAAGGAAGAACGCGAATTCGCCGAGGAGGGCGTATCGCGCGAGAGCATTGAGGAGGAGATCCTCAATAGGAAGGAGAAGATCCTGCGCAACGACGAGGAGGAAGACTCGTCGTCGTCACAGAAGACTCTAATGTCTGGATTAGAATCGATGGACGAGTACTTCGAATCTACGCTTACCGCCAGCGGATTTGAGGTAGACTCCGAGGTGGGCCTAGGTCTGCTTCCAATGGAGGAAGATTCGTGTTTATTCTCGGACGACGCGAAAAAGAAAGAAGATATTATTCGCTTGAAAGGAGGAGGAGTGGACTCCACCTCCTCTCCCTCACCTGATCGTGGTAAGGCCCCTAGTAGCGAGAGAAAAACCGGGAAGAGGCGCAAACCGGGACCTAAGCTCATCAAGGTTTTGACTAAAGCCTCGTCGGGGTCCACCGAGGAACCCCCGATTAAGAAGGTGCAACCCCACTCGCGAGAGGGGAGGAATAACGAAGATACTTCCGCGGACGATGATGGCTCAATAGC